ATTTAGTCCATTTAATTCCCGATTATCATTTAAATTTTCAAAATAATATCATACAATATACTCTATTTCGATTATTTATTTCTTTCAGTACAACACGAATCCTACTGAAGTAAACAACATTTACATTTTAATAAAATAATTTACAATGTACTAAGGATCACAATTATAATCATACAAGTCGCGAGCTAATTTATGCCTCCACATATCAATCGAAGACTGATTTATTGTATCAACATTGCGACCAATGCTCAAGAACTCTATGTACTTGATTGCAAATATGCCACAGTCACCCCTGCAACCGAATTAGAAGATATTAGTTCCATAACATATAATTGAAAATTAAATCTGAAAATTTAAAAGTTGTACATCCTTACGATCTTTCTTATCTCGCAGTCGTCGTGTTCCGCACAATGGCTAATCTATCATTTACTCGAATCATCGCATGACTAGCCATCATGGGCACGATCACAGCCAATGGCTCCAGTATTTGCTCCAATTGACTTTGCGTCAGACAGCTATGATCAGAGTCGTACACATATATGGTGGAATCAGCAAATACGATCTCCACCGAAAAACAGTGTGAGTTCGCGATCACTGGAATGTACATATGTGTACAATCTGTCCACGGCTTTCTGCACCTCAACTGTAGTCCAATCACCCACTCCAGCATGTACTCAGACAGAACATAATCATTCCCCTTGCTTAGGAGCTCCTGATGCTCAATCTCTACGACACGAACGAACTCAGCGCTCAAGATAACTCGAGTAGGACTGTCATAAGATCTCGGGTACCTCTGCGCCCGATCGTGTAACAATTCCATAGCCAAGTCGATATGCTAAAACAAAAAAACACCAACAAAAAAGATAGAGTCATTTAAGTAAATGAACCAACAACTTGTATAATTATAATAAATGGAAACTCAAAAAACTTACATCATCAGCGAGCCAAGCTGAGGTCGTCAGTACATCTTCAAACCACTTTTTAGCATTGGGCACGGTCATACAGCCGATGGTATAACTATCTCTGAAAAATGAAAAAACAGTTACCAAAGATACAAAAAAATAGTAGCAACATCATAAAATACTTACTCGGACTTAAGGGATTTGAACCAATCATCGAACGCCTTCTGTCTGACTAGGTCGACGTCGCGAAAAAGATTGGGGTACGCCCCATCCACAAATCCCCTTCTCTTCGCCTCGACCGTGTAGGGAGAAACGACGTACTGTGACGGCAATCTTGATCTCTTACCGACCATCAGCTCTGGCGCGTCAGCAGCACGCTTCTTACCCTTCGGGACCTCCGTCGCCCCCTCGGACACGAATACTACCTCGTCATCCGTCATCTCCGGCGTCCTCTCATCCTCCGCAACCTAATCATCCCCCTCTACTACCACCTCTGATGTCCCCTCCGCTACCTCCTCGACCACCCCTGTCCCTCCCTCCACCTCCTCTATCTCTGCCTCCTCCGGCACCTCCGGCCCGACCTCCACCCCGGGCATCCCCGCCTCCTCCGCCTCCTCCGACTCCTCCTGCCCGAACTCCACCCCCTCCCTCTCGGCCTCCGGCACCGAACCAAAAAACTCATCGATTCCCCCGGCCGTTGCCCACCAATCTCGAGGGACACCAGTCTCCTCGACATTCCCTCAGACGCCTGCTACATCGCCTCGAAGTGCTGCAACCTCAGTATGAAGGTCTCCTATATCTCGTCGCAGCACTCCAATCTCATCTCGCAAAGCTACTACATCTGTCGTAAAATCTCGTCGCAGCACCCCTATCTCCTCTCGTACTGCGACGATCTCTGTCGTAAAATCCCGTCGCAATACCCCTATCTCCCCTCGTAATGCGACTACCTCTGTCATAAAATCACG